CAAGCCAGAACTTCTTTGCAAGCGGGGCACCCCTTAGAACTGTGTGTCCGGGGTGGGGGTCGGGACCCTTTAAGCGCAACCCTCGGCTAGCCTGAGACAGCATCTCCATGCTCTAAGTCCTCCTCTTATGCCCTGCCGGCACTGCTTCCGGCCATCCTTAAGCCCGGTTCAGGGGCCACTTAATGTGGACATGCTAGTTCGAATTAGCAAAACGCTAATTCGAACTAGTTTTTAGTTCTAGACACGTTAGTTCGAATTAGCTTAGTTCGAATTAACTAATTCGAACTAAGTTAGTTCGAATTAGCGCTGTAGTGTAGACATACCCTCAGCTACATAAAGAGGTAAGCAGTGTTGTTAGTCCGAGGATATCAGAGTGACAAAGTAGGTGAGGTAATATCTATTATTGGACTGGGTTTGATTGGTGGGAGGGAGATAAGCTTTCAAGCTTACCTAGACCTCTTCTTCAGATGCGGAAGTGAATATTTATAGACAAGTAAACTGAGGCAAAAAGGAGCCAGGAACAGAATTCAGGGCTTTCAGACTTCGAATCAGAAACTCTAACCTTAGGATCAAGGCCTACCTTAGCTAGTGCTCCTCTACAGTCAGGGAGGCATAGGCAACAGCAAGTGTTTTGGATCATACTATTTCTATTTTGGGGAATATGTATTATGTGTCTCCAGTTGCTTTATTAGTGGATGGAGGCATTCTTGGATGGAATAGTGAAGCCCATAGGATCACCACAGATAGTGATAACTAATCAGCTGCTTCTGCTGGAGATGCCGCTGATCATGGTACATGTTCTCAAGTATTCTGGGTTCAGTAGCAATGGGTACAAACCTGGCTCCAATGAAATCAATTGAAAAAACACCCATTGAATTCAATGGAGGCAGATTTTCTTTTTGTGGTGCTGATTTTATGGAGAATTTGGGAGATAACTGAATGTGTGGAAGAAAGAAGAGCTCAAAAATTTACAGATAAATGACAATTATGAAAAGGGAGCAGGAAAAAGAAATAAATGAGGGGCTATGGACCATTTCCCTTTTTCATTTGCCTATTTTCTCTGATTGGTCTTTCCTTTGGCTCTTACCCAAGTTCAAAGAACCCTGACCACTAACTGTCCTTGTCCTGCAGAACTCTGTTTTCAACAAAGGATGCCACCCTATGCCCTGTGGCCCAGATGTTCTCCACACTACCTGAATTTCCTGAGTAGCAGAAAGGAAGCAGATATGGTCCACAACCCATCTCTGTCCCTACATAGGTGAGTCCTTAATGAGTGTAGAGCAAAACCAGTATCTATGCCTCCTTTCCTGCAGCCTAGTTATCAGATAGAATGGGGCATTAGGAAGAGCAGCCTCATTTCTCTCTGGCTATTCCCTTAACTGATACAGATTAAAGCAATCCCCAAATTGCTGCATCTGTGAGAAGAATCAGACAACGGTAACTAGCTCCCTGCTCACCCTACTTTTCTTCAGTGCACCACAAAATCTGGACTGTTTAGATTTAAGATAATTTATTTGTGAGGGCTTACATTAAAGAATCTTGTTTAAAAAATCTCTCTGTGTGACAAATACAATGGCCGATATGCTATTAGTTAGGTTTGTTATTCTTGGGGGTTAAGGAGCAAATTATTCCCACTTTTCCACCAATTGGACATAATATTTTATGTGACAGGAATGAACCTATGTACAGCCTGAATTTTAGAAAAATTTGTTTTCTTTACATTGACTGCACCTGGTGAATATGGGTTGTTATGCTGAAATGTTAATTTACACAGACATGATAATTTATATTTGTTGTTCAGAGTAATTTTGGTACTTGACATCATTGTATTTGCAGTTTGGCATAACCCCGTAAGGGCAGTATGGAATGGAATATTTTGCACCTGTGCTCTTAATTAATGCAAATTATAATAGATTGTTAAAATTAGATATCTCAAGCCTGGCTTGTGTGAGTGGTTCCTCCTTTTTTGTGAGAGTTTACAAAAGTGCTTGCCAACATTGCTTGGCTTTTTTCTCTCCTTGCTGATGGTACAATACAATAGACAAGAAATCACACTGGAAACATTTTTGGGAAATTCCATATAATTTAAAGCAAAATACCTATACATACATAAATGCAGTTAGTACTTGCCTTCTCTTTAAAGCTTAAAGTTATTAAAATCTAGAATGTATCTGTAAATGACACAATTTTATGTCTACTTATAATAAACTCACACGTAACACTTTGTAATCATTTTGTCAAGTTTGTATCTAAATACAGTAAAATTTGCTGAATGTGTAGTACCCTACTATTAAATTTGCTGAATGTGTAGTACCCTACTGTTTGTCAGAGACTTAGGCATAAATACATTTATGTTTGAATAATTCACAAGGTGGGCATCTTTTCTTAGACTACTGTATGGTATGAACATATATAGTTCTGGAGGGTAAGAGAGGTATGTGTGTCTTCCTGTCATAATCTATAGCTGACAAAATGTCCATTTTTTTTTAACAAAAAACTTCCAAAGAGGGATAACTAACAAATAACGTTAGCAGTATAATTAGTATTGCAGCCTTTGTGTGAATAGTTCATAGATGAAGAAATGTTGCTTCACTAGTCTTGAGTAAGTGGACAAGGACCATTTTCTTATTAAATTACTTTACATTTTGCTCGCTACTGAAGTACATTTTGATGGTGATTTGAAAATCTTCCATCAAAAGACCAAGTCTTGAGTGTGGGAGTTTATTACTGATTCCAGAGAGCAAAACAATGAAAGGCATTGCTTATTATGTTTGTATGAAGCAATAAAAATATTTGTAGTACCCTTCTCCAAACAGAAATATCACAGCTTGCTTTATGAAAGATTTACAGTAAATAATCAAGTTCAAATATGCATCTAACATCTGTAGATAGTGATGACAAGGGAAAACATGACTCTCTGGGTACTTCTACACTAGCCCCCTAGTTCAAACTAGGGAGGCTAATTAGGGCGACCGAAATTGCAAATGAAGCGCGGGATTTAAATATTCCACGCTTCATTAGCATATTCCTGGGTGGTCACCATTTTGGAAATTGACTAGCCCGGAGTAACTGCCTGCGTCTACACACGGCAGTGAAATGGGAGTTTGAAGTAACCCCTTAACTCGAATTAGCTGTTAAACCTCATTCCAGGAGGAGTAACAGCTAATTTGAGTTAAGGGGTTACTTCAAAGTCCCGTTTCACTGCCACGTGTAGATGCGGGCAGTTACTCCGGGCTAGTCAATTTCCAAAATGGCGACCAGCTGAAAACATGCAAATCAAGCGTGGGATATTTAAATCCCAGCCTTGATTTGCAATTCCAGTTGCCCTCATTAGCCTCCCTAGATCGATCTAGGGGGCTAACGTAGACATACCCATGTAGACTTGCGTTCTG